TTTGGAATTTCAGCTCGGTTTTCGTGATATATCATCTGGGCAGGGTAGATGACCAGTGTATTATGTTTATCAACGTGGAAGCGCGGGCCGGGGTACCGCTTGATCGAATGTTTGCCGAGGGCGGGACGAACAAACAAAATCCCCAGCGAACAATTTTGTTGCGTCTGCTCCCGACACGTCAAGACTTGAACAAGTCCACCATCCTCCCCCTCCTCCTCTCCTCCCTCCCTCCCAAAAACACACGCACAATGGCCTCCCTCGCTCGTCTCCGCCTCTCCCGCAAACTCGTACGTGTCCTTCCGTGCCTCCTTCGCTGTCTTTCTTGCTGATTTTTTGGGGAACCGTATGGCAGCCCCTCAGAGGCGTGCGCGCCATCCAGACGTCCGCGGACACGACACAGCTGCAGAGCTCGTTGCCTGACAGCGGCGCGCAGCCGTTCACGGTGAAGCTCCATGAGGACTCGTTCCGCTCGTACCGCTGTGATGTCCCTGACCTCGAGGTCGAGGTGACGAAGGACCAGCTCCTCACGATGTACAAGCAGATGCAGCTGATGCGTCGTATGGAGATGGCGGCGGACGCGCTGTACAAGGCGAAGTTGATTCGTGGGTTCTGCCATTTGGCTATTGGACAGGTACGGGTTTTTTTTCTTACCTCGTCGTTTTGTTTTTTTCGACGTGTCCTATTCGTGAAACTGACGTTGCCCAACAGGAAGCAGTGTCTGTGGGTCTGGAGCACGGTATCGTCAAGAACGACAAGGTCATCACCGCCTACCGCTGCCACCCTTTCGCCGTCCTCCGCGGAGGTACCGTTTCCGGAGTCCTTGGCGAGCTCCTCGGCCGCCAGAGCGGTATGTCCCACGGAAAGGGCGGGTCCATGCACATCTTCACCCCGACCTTCTTCGGCGGTAACGGTATCGTCGGTGCCCAGGTGCCCGTAGGCGCCGGCGTCGCCTTCGCACAGAAGTACATGGATGAGAAGCACGCGACCTTCGCGCTGTACGGAGACGGTGCGAGTAACCAAGGCCAGGTGTTTGAGGCGTTCAACATGGTGCGTTGACCTCTTCCCTTCCCTGCCCTTCTTCGTTGTTGTTAATTGGAGATGGTGATACAGGCCAAGCTGTGGAACCTCCCCACGATCTTCGTGTGCGAGAACAACAAGTACGGAATGGGCACGTCTGCGGAGCGCAGCTCCTCCAACACGGAGTACTTCACCCGCGGTGACACCATCCCCGGCCTCCAAGTCAACGGCATGGACATCATCGCCACCCTCCAAGCCGTCAAGTACGCCCGCAACTGGGCCGTCGACCAGCAGAAGGGCCCGCTCCTCCTCGAGTTCGTCACGTACCGCTACGGCGGCCACTCGTACGTCGTCATTCCCTTTTGTTCTTTGGATCCAGGCTGATGCTGCGGTGTGATGCAGCATGTCCGACCCTGGAACCACCTACCGCACGCGTGAGGAGGTCCAGCGGATGCGTAGCACCCAGGATCCCATCCGTGGGCTCCAGCGCTACATCGAGGAGTGGGGTCTCGCTTCCGAGCACGAGCTCAAGGTGTGTACTCGTCTTACGTTTTGGAAGTCTTGACTCAACACACTTCGTACAGCAACTCGACAAGGACGCCAAGGCCGAGGTCGACGCTGCGGTGCTGGAGGCTAAGGCTTCGCCTGAGCCGGAGCTGAAGGATCTCTGGACGGATATCTACTACAAGGGCACGGAGCCGCCGACCATGCGCGGTCGGGAGCGTGAGGAGGTGCGTTTGAGACTATCCCTTTCCTTGTATCTTTTCATGACCTGACCTTTGTTTGGTGCAGGTCCACCACTACTAGACGCTTCGATGCTAGACGCCGGTCGCTAGATAGATAGGTGGCACGATACCATTATCTATATATCCGACACTCTACGTACTGGGACGTGTGAGGCACGCTGTTTGCTCTGATTTTTTCCCCTTGTTATTGAAACTTGATACCTAATAATGACATAGAATACTCGTTTGGCATTTGGGGATGTGTAGTCTCGGTCCCAGAAGTTATATCGACTATTGGAACTCTCAAAACTCTTGCCCCTGGATGACCACATACATTGTATGAATGATTCCCAGCGTTCCAATGCACGGCCCCCAGCCTGTGCCTGTGCTCCACGTTCTCGTTCTCCTGGTCCAGACAATCGCCGATGTATCGAGTAGCACGTGAGGGAACTTTTATGGCAGACCACTTTGAGTAAACTCAGGTAAACTCATGTCAGCACACGTTGTAATTTAACCCTTACACCGCCCAGCTCGTCCAGCGCCCCCATTCATTCCCCGTCACACAGAGTGCAGATACCTATGTCGTTGTTCGCGCATGCCCAGAATTCTCACATCTTCGGTGGTAGCTTCAACGCAGTCCAGGGCGATTACATTCATATCGACCATGTATCGATGCCTGCACCCGCGTGAGCCCCTACCACCTCTGTGAAGATGTCGGTACCTACAACGACCGCTTTAGCGAAGTACTAGAACCTGATCCTCTCCCAGAGAAACCTTTGATGTTTTGTGGAAGGGGTGATCTCGTTGGAGAGGCTTCCCATTTGCTGCTCGCATTCAGGCATGTCGCACTAATCGGTCCCGGTGGTATAGGGAAGACCAGTGTCGCACGAGCTGTGCTGAACGATGACGCTATTATAGAGCGATTTTCGAAACGTCGATATTTCGTGACCTACGATGACATCGATGCCTCTCAGATCACGTACACGACGTTCCTCGATCGCATCGCTCGAGCGTTGGGTCTTCCATTATCCAAGGCAAACACACTCAGCCTTATCACCAGGCATCTTTCCATCTCTCAGTCTCTTCTAGTTCTTGATAACGGAGAGACATTTTTGGAGGCAGGCGACGGGGGTCGCATCGCTGAGTGTTTCGAACGGTTCATTTCACGACCGAATGTCGCCATCTTGCTTACAACGCGATTGATCGGGCTTCCGCCGAATCTAGAGTGGGAGCGCCTCCAGGTCCCTGCGCTTGATTTGAATGCCGCATCTGAGGCGTTCGAGAAGATTTATCGCTCACCGATTGAGCCCTCCACCCTTAGGAACATATTGTCCGCCATCGACTGTCATCCTCTCTCGATCAATCTCCTTGCGCAGGTTGCTGTTCAGAATCAGTGGTCCTCGCCAGAGTTACTTGCGGAGTGGGATTACCGACACGTCTGGCTGCTCGAAAATGGGAACGGGAAGGTCCAGAGTCTAGCGGTTACCATTGAGATGACCCTCAACTCGCCCTCGATCAAGAAGCTCGGCGACATCGTGCGACATATGATACAGCTCATCGCCCTTCTTCCTCAGGGCCTAAACAAGAAGCGCTCGGCTGAAATGTTCCCTTCGAACCCCACCATCGCGCGCTGCTCTGAGACTTTGTGCAAACACTCGTTGGCATATCTCAAAAATGGCTTCATCACTTTTCTTGCACCAGTCCGGCTCTACATCGCAGAACAATATAATCATGTTGGCCTTTTCCAGATACCATTCTTCGCTCAGGTCAGTACGTATTATAGGACACAACTCAATGACACCGCGCTCCGCAAGAAGCTTGTCTGGGAAGAGGACATTAACATAGAACATGTTCTCGTGCTGGATCTCGCAAACTGCAGCAAAAAGGATAAAAAGGATATGGATGAGGCACTCGAACTCGTCATCACCTTTCTAGACTCTCTGGAAGGACCTAAACTCCGTTCGACCGCCTTACTCCCTGCAGTCCTAGCATTGAACCTCGACCCTACGCCCCAGTTTTGGGCATCTTGGCATGCGATACGGGGAGGAAAACTCATGAAGATGAAATGCTTGACCAGGATTGGCAGAGTCGCATCAGACGCCGGGCAATTCGCGGAAGCAATCGCGGCGGTCAAAGAGGCGCGTGAGATCTGCCTGACTTCCGGGACTCTCGGAGATGTATGGTTGGTACAATGCGACGTTGACCTCGGCGGGTTGTACTACGCTACGGGTGATTATACGAGAGCAGACAGGATCTACGAAGAAGCTATACAGCGGCCACCTGTCCTTAGGCTCTTCAAAACTCCCTTAGACCATATCCCAGAAATCACGTTCAAACTCGAGCGTGCTCGCATATTGGCAATCAGAGGCGAATCTGGCGCGTTAGAACTAGCCTTAGCTGCCCTCGCGGTGTTCCGTACCAAAGTTATATTTGGCATTGAACGCCTTTCCAAGCTAGAGGCCAGTTTGAAGGCATACGACATTATGGGATATGCGGAACTTTGGGCGGGTAACTCCCAAAGCGCACGCAAATACTTCGAAACTGCATTGTCAGATTCCGGAGAGTCGAATTCCCACAACGACCATCTCCTTCGCGCATTGGTTGGAATGGTGGATGTCTCTTACTGTGAAGACAATGAGTCTGAATCGATTCAACGTCGGCGCCGTGTGCTGAAATCCATCGACAGTTGGAAAACACACGATACAATTGCTGCTGTTAGGGCCTTGACTGTTCTAGCTGCACACATTGCCGTACATGGTGACGTCCATCAGGCCCGAGAGGACATAGGAGTCCTCACCAAAAAGTATACACAGTCCCTGGACATCGACACGCGGGCGGTCATCTCCCTGTATGTTGCCGCCTGCATCGAGTTGCTGTGTGAAGACCTTAGTGCAGCCGCGGAACTGCTCATGCAGACCATAGAGTACGCCGAAGCGCTTTCTGAAGTTCGTGTCCATGCGCAAGCTCTGGCGGCGCTTGGGGAGGTCGCGGTTCGGTGGGACGACATGGATGCTGCTACGGTTCGGTTTGAGCAGGCGAGGGAGCACTGCGATTTCATGGGCGTCAAGTATGAATGCTTATACACCCATGATCCCTATTATATGTTTAGTGATACTTTCAAGGGTTGGGCGTCGTTCTGTCGGGATTTGCTGGCTGATGTATAAATATGTACTGGCCGGTCGTGATATCGATATCAGCATTTTGCCCCGTGATCCACCTAACATAACCACCAAGAAAAAATTGCGTTAGATGCGGGCATGGGGGCACCGCGGATTGAACGCGGGACCTTCAGAATAACTTGGTTTCGCATCGGTATCGACTTCAGTCTGCTGCTCTCCCAACTGAGCTATTCCCCCGCCATGGATGAGCACAGAGCCGTGAGGTGAGCTTCAAGGGGTGCATTGACAAACGGGTAACCACTGAGTTTATCCTGGTCGACCCGTTTGTGGACTCTAGGCCAAATGATAGTCCCTTGTCTCGAACACGCAACAGGCATACGATGGTGCATTTCCTCAACCATATGGATAGGATATATCACGGCTGACTACAGCACATGTATTTCACTCAGGATTGAACAATAGAAACGAAGAAACCGTGAAATGTATCAGTATCTTTGAATTGTTCGCTGAAAGGCAATGTACATGAGTCAGCCTTATATCAGGTGTGCACCGCGTGCATATGCTTTGCAGGGGTTCGTGAAGGAGGACATCACAGGGCGACGGTGCTGCGCCTGGTCATGCTCCTGACCACCGCATGATCGATCGCTCGTCCGGGGTTTTCGGTGACCATCGACTGATCAGCCTGGGCGTCAAAGGCTACAAAGCCCAATCACGACGCGTCTATTTCGCTTATATATGTAGATCCTTCCCCGCTTGCGGATCCAAACAGAGCAGCGGACATAGTAGCAAGGTTATCCTCGGTGTCTTGATATTGAATGAGAGGGCGAAATCAAAACTAGAGACATGTGGAGGCTGCAGCGGCCTTCGGCTTGGAGCAGGGTTGGATGTCGTCGAAATTCATGGATTAGACAATTCCTATTAGCAAAGTTCGAAATAGAATATCAGAATGGCTGCTCCATGAACTGTGGAAAATCGCAATCTCATTTACAATTCGCAGGTGCAGAAAAGAAGAATGGAATGCCTCGCAAAATCAAGGCCTGCAAGAACACCGAAGTCTGGCCTCAGAGCGAATCCGGGTGCATCCCTGTTGGACTGTAAGGATGTAAACAGTCTATGACGAGCTGCGCGTCATACCACGATGCATATAATCGAACAATGTCGAAGTTTGTCTACGACCTCATGGCTCAATGGACAGGAAGAACGATCGGTAGGTCGCGCAGAAGCGAGACTTAAATCCGCGTGGTCTTCTCCGATCTGGAGTGATCTTCGAAAACATCGGCCTCGAGGTCTGAGGATGGTAACTCTTGGCGAAAGAGAGGAACCGGTGCCGCAGTCATCAGGCAAAGATGAGTCCGCGTGAGCTACCTGGCCGGTCAACCCGAAAGGAAGCAAAAGTTGAAGACAGGCAGAGCCATGTGGCAGGTGGCTCTCTAGGAACAAGCGGATCCCGTACACAGATCGTCATAGATCGTGATTCATTTCTAGGGGGAAAAACGATGTTCAGATTGCGTCAGCGCAGTAACATCATGCGGCCGCAGATTTCGCATCTTTGTTCGTAGCCAGCAGTCTCCGCGTCCACAATAGGGGTGCTCAATTCTGAGTTCAGTTCACGAGTTCAGTCCATCAACCACTTGTCGTTAGGACGTTGCTATGCTGCAAATCACCGAGGGCTCGCTAAGGATTATCTTTCTCTGCTCTTTTTCGCCACTTTTCACGCTGTATAACGTCGTGCACGACTCCAAAAAATGCGATTTTTGGTACGCTAAATGTAACTGTAATGAAGATGAAGTAGGCAAAAAAAGCAAGGATTTGGAGCACAGGTTGACGATCTTTCTTGATTTTCCTAAGATTCATCCTCCAAACCCTCGGACTTCGAAACTTACCAGGCACACACAGTGATGAACTGAACTCGTGAACTGAACTCAGAATTGAGCACCCCTAATACAACGAGTAGGACTGGGATGCCTGTGATTCATGGTTAGCGTACGTATGGTTAGATTTATCTCTTGGAGGGAAGAAGCTATACTCATGTCTGAAGCTGACAGGATTGACATAAGATTCTGTATCATGGGTTACTGGCCCGGATCTGCGTTCCACGTCAGCCATTGACATCAACTTTGCCCAATACGTACGAAACATAACTGGCGCGAGTAGAAGATGCAATGTTCCAATAGCTCGTAAGGTTCGAAACTGGCGTTGTGAAAGAATCATGAATACAGTTCAACTCGATGTCATGGTTGGGTTGGAGGCACCGTGTGAACGATCGCCATGTGTGACAAATTGACAATGACACAGCGTCAGCATCTCGTAACGCGACTTCCAGTCAATGTTGTTTTGCACTCACTTACACCTCAGACGCGTCGTTATCTGCAAATCCTCTGCGTACGGTCATCTCGTTGGGTTTATGGCTAAGACGCGAAGTTCGAGTAGCCGGGCACAACAAGAGGAGTCATCAGAGCCACCCCTGAAAAGGATCAAGTTGGCAAATCCTCCAGTCGCAGGTACGCTGTCCGCCCCATACATCCACTGCTTTTCTGCGCTTTCCTGACCGTAGATCGAACAAGAAACCCGCCCGGAACCTGCTCCGAGAACCAGACGTACGAAAGCATCGGCACCTATCGACACGAGCTCCTTTCCCGAGCGAGTTCAAGAAACCCACCCGAAACCTGCTCCGAGAACCAAACGTTCGAAAGCATCGGCAGGTATCGACACGAGTTCCTTTCCCGAGCGAGTGACGACCCTTTGGAAGGTCGGGGCGCACGTCTCGACTGTGAAGGGAGTGGAGAATGCAATTCTCAACGCCGCTGCAATCGGGTACGTCGCAATAAACTAGAACCCTGTACGTCTCCCTAACAGTCTAAAATTAGGGCCAACGCGTTCGCCCTCTTCGTCAAGTCTCAACGGAAATGGATTTCACCACCATTGAAACCCGAATGTATATCTTCCTTCAAAGCGCGCATGGTGGAATACGGGTATACCAGCGACTTCATATTGCCTCATGGAAGCTATCTGATCAATCTAGGAAACCCAGACGCGTATGTGTTCCCCTACTGCAGATTGGCGCGTCTTACCCACTGTTTTGACAGTCATAAGCGAGAGAAGTCGTATCAGTGCTTCTTGGACGATCTTCAGCGGTGTGAACAGTTGGGTCTTACACTTTACAACTTCCAGTGCGTTGACGTTCTGCTAGTCACTAAGGGTTGATCAATGTGATGACGGTGCACTTCAGCCCAGGTTCCACTGTTGGGGATACGTCGATGGAACATTCTATTTCATTAGTTGCGGAATCCATCAATAGAGCGCACAAGGAAACTGCAAGAATTACGATAGTATTAGAGAACATGGCAAGCTATCGACTCTTCTTTTAGTCGTAACTTCAGCTTATTTGGGCAGTGATTTTTCTCTGATTTCAGGCTGGAGCTGGGAATATCATTGGGGGAGATTTCTCCCATCTAGGGCAAATCATTTCACAGGTGGAGGACAAAAGTAGGGTAGGCGTGTGCTTGGATACTTGTACGTTTTCAACTCTTCCGAGCCTATACTTTCTTAACATGTGTATGATCCTAGGTCATATGTTCGCTGCGGTGAGCCTTCATGTTTCATCTCCAACGCTTAATTTTCTAAAGTTCAAAGGGCGGTAGGGGTACGACATAAGGAAGAAGGAAGATTGGGAGTAGGTTGAGGCTGAATTACACCGCCGCCGCTTAAACTAATAATGTCATTTTCAGTGCCACCCGTGCGATATGGTGTCTCACATAGCGACGCCAAGAACTGACGAGCATATTTCTAGTTGACAAGTTTGACGCCGAAGTCGGACTCACCTATCTACGTGGAATGCATCTGAACGACTCGAAGACCGCCCACAACTCCAAGAAAGACCGCCACGAAAGCATCGGCATGTAAGTACATCACACCCTACGCTTCGCCCCGTTACTTAATCCTCGATATTCCTTCCAGAGGACAGATCGGCATCCACGCATTCCACCACATACTGAATGACCCCCGAGTCCAGAACATCCCTCTTGTACTGGAAACCCCTAGCTACGAGCTCCCTTTGGTGACCTGGACCAAGGAAATCGAAACTCTCAATCGACTTTCGGGCCTTGCATTGGATTCAGTTACATCTCAGGGGGAGGAGATCGTCAAAGGGATCGAACTGGCTGTGAAACAGGCAGCGAAAGTCGGCAAGCTGAAGGTTAAGGCTTCTGCTCGTAAAGCTACTAGACGGAGGGCTAAGGCGGACGTTCACGAAGAGGAGGAAGAGGACGGAGCTACGACATCGCAGGGGGAGGAGATCGTCGAAGGGGTCGAAGTGGCTGTGACACAGGCAGCGAAAGTCAGCAAGTTGAAGGTTGCTCGTAAATCTACCAAACGGAGGGCTAAGCCGGACGCCCACGAAGAGGAAGAAGAGGGCGGAGCTACGACATCTCAGGGGGAGGAGATCGTCGAAGAGATCGACGTGGCTGTGAAACAGGCAGCGAAAGTCTCCAAGTTGAAGGTTGCTCGTAAGCCTGCCAAACGGAGGGCTAAGCCGGACGCCCACGAAGAGGAGGAAGAGGACGGAGCTATGACATCTCAGGGGAAGGAAATCGTCGAAGGGGTCGAAGTGGCTGTGAAACAGACAGCGAAAGTCGCCAAGTTGAAGGTCAAGGCTCCTGCGCGTAAAACTACCAGACGGAGGGCTAAGCCGGACGCCCACGAGAAGGAGGAAGAGGACGGAGCTGAGGGCTGATTGTCCTTACTACTCTATTGATCCTTGTCTAGGGATGATTTCGCAGTATACCTGCCTCACCTCCAGAAAGGTTCGTGCTCGAGCCTCAGATATCTTCGATTGCGGTGTCTCGTCGATGAATACACGACGGCGTATGGATATGCTGTTTGTTAGGTGACAGGGCTTGTCCTGAGGCCCTTGTGGAACCACCGTGTGGGGTCAGACCAACCGCCGGCAGGGCTCTATCAAGGATCGATATTGAGGATCCCAACGCATACTCTTCAGACCTTGACACGTGTCGCACGGCGGAAATCTCTTTCGCTGACGATCATCAGTCTCGAGACATCCTTTCTATGTCCGAGGGTCGTTAGTAATGAATCTCAGGCTCGAGCCTGCTCGACTCTCCAGCGCAACGGGTCGCGTTGATGCCTCGTTCCTGTGACCAGGACGAAACCGATATTCATGTACGGAGCTGTTGGCAGGGAAATGATAAGTCCTGACGATCCACTGTCGATTTTCCTTTAGT